TAAGTTTCGTTTGTATATTGGGAGGAAGTTCTTTCCTGGACAAGTGGTGAGGCACTGGAACAGGCTGCCCAGGGAGGTGGTGGAGTCACCAAGCCTGGAGGTGTTTAAAAAAAAAGTAGATCTGGCACTTGAGGCTGTTGGTGTAGTGGTTGGGTGTGCTGGGATGAAGGTTGGACTAGGTGATCTTCAGAGGTCCCTTCCAACCCCGAACATTCTGTGATTCTGTGATTCTGTGATCATTAACTGGAAAGATCTGGGTCACAGAACAGTGCTTTGTCCTCTTCCGAAAGGAAGAGTTCTCACTTAAACTGCAGAAATAGAAAGGAAGAGGGAAAATAACTGGCATTGGGATGGTGGCGGAGCTGTGTCCAACCTGTAGCCATTGTCTCGTTCCACTTGCAGGTTATACGAGCAATTTAGTTGCCTGAGGGCTGATTTGTAGCAGCCTGTGTTACAGTGCAGGACCCCAGGACCTGTCAGCGTTAGCCTGGACTCAGCCAACCCGGGAATGCAGCAGGGAGGCAGATACTGACTGTGACCCTCTCTCTTGTCTCGCTGCAGCATGCCAATGAAGATGTGGAGAGGATGCTGTTAGGAAACAAGTGTGACATGGAAGATAAAAGAGTTGTCCCTAAAGCAAGAGGCGAACAGGTAAGTGTTGGGCAAAAACTTTCTCTTCCAAGTAAGCGAATCGGCGCCGAGGCTTCCCACCACCGAGGTGGTCGAGGTGCCACCACGGGACGTGCCAGGGAGCGATGGAGGCAGCTGGATTTACTAACAGTTGGTAAATCTGGGGGTTGTTTCCTCAGAAGCTGAGCTGCAGACAACTGCCGTGAACGGAGCGAGTTCAGCTGCGGTTTCTGCTTTCTTTGATAACCGAGACTTTCCAGGCGGCCTTTGTTAATTGACTCCCCATGTGACAGGCTCGTACGGTGTCTGTCGCCTCCTGTTCAGACAGACTTGTGATTTAATACACTTTAATTGCTGTTCCCGAGTCATTAAGTTCCAAATCTTCTCTTGTGACACTTTGCCGAGGTAATACTTCTGCCTGCCGTGGCTGAAAGAATATTCCATGGACAGAAATGCTGCTCATCCCGGAGTCAGAGCAGCACTGGATGAATCCCTCTGACCCTAACCTCCTCCTTCTTTCTTTTCTTGCTTTAGATTGCCAGGGAGCACGGTATTAGGTTTTTCGAAACTAGCGCAAAAGCAAATATAAACATTGAGAAGGCATTCCTCACGTTAGCAGAAGACATTCTCCGAAAGGTAGGTGCTTACAGGGTTCGTTTGAAAAAAGTGACCCTAAAATTTCAGCTCCTCTTGCTCTTGATATTTACCTGAATTGTTGCAGCTTTTGTCTTGGGCGCGCTAAGACAAACGAGTTCCTGAAGGAGGAATGTTCTACATCTAAAGCTTGTGGACTTCTGAAGCTTGTTTGGTGTTTGGTTATCGTAGGGGTGCGGTGTAGAGGGAGCAGTGTGCGTCAGAGAGCCAAGGGATGAGGGTCAGCAAGGCCAAGGGCAAGGTGCTGGCCCTGGCTCGGGGCAATCCCAAGCACAGAGCCAGGCTGGGGAGGAGGGGATGGAGAGCAGCCCCACAGAGAAGGGCTTGGGGGGCTTGGGGGGAGCCCCCCCTGCAGTTGTGTGCCCAGCTCTGGGGCCCTCAGCACCAGCAGGACGTGG